AACACGACTATTGTCGGACGTCTAAATGTGTGTCTGTGTTCCAGGACCTGTCGTAGTGTGAAGATGTGGTCTATACAACCACGTCCAGGTCGAAAACCAGACTGGTTTTCTCGAGTCTGCTCTTCGCGAGCTCTAGTTAGACGTCTAAGTATAATCGAGGCTAACAATTTAGAAACTATATTAGTTAAACTTATTCCCCTGTGATTGTCACTAGAGGACTTCTGTCCTTTCTTGTAGATTGGGACAATTAGCGACTGAGACCAGTCAGATGGGATTACGTCCATTTCCCAGATTCTACCTAGGATCTCGGTCAGTCTAACCGTTAAAACTGGACCACCATACTTAAACATCTCAGGGGTAAGCCTGTCGGGACCTGCCGCTCTACCTCTCCTTAGATTTCCTATAGCTTTCTCAACTTCATGTAAACTGGGAGGACTTAAATCGATTTGCCATTCAGGATGACTGGAGATCGTGGGCAACCGAAGAGTGGCTGAAGGCCAGTTGAACTGATCCCTAAAGTGTTCTGCCCATCGTTCCAGCCTCCTGGATTGAGAATAAATAATAGTCCCGTCATTTTCCGAGATAGTCTCACTTACATTCGGGTTCCTAATACCGGTTTCTTTGATAAGGCGGAAAAGTTGTCTAGTGTTGCCTATCGCCGCAGCCTTTTCCATCGCTTTTGCCTTCGCCACCCACCACTGTTCACGGTCGTTACGTAGGCTTTTTATAAGTCTGCACCTAAGCTGACTACGCTCTTCAGCATGTTCAGAGTCAGGTGGGATGCGTTTTCGAGCATCCATCAGTTCGGTGGATGCGACTGAAATCCACTGCTTCATCCTAGCCTTATGGTTCACCTTACTAGCAGATATCACTGCTGTTTCCACAGCCTTCTTGATGTCATTACAACCTGCCTCAGGATGGGAATCACTTGCATGGCCGCCTAACTGTGTTTCTAGTTCCTCCTGAAATATTTTCTTAGCTTGATTATCATCAAGTAAAGCCCTAATAGGCTTTCTTACGGTGTCTTTCCTACGTCCAGCAAGCCTCAAACAAATACGTGCTCGCACTAGGGCATGATCTGAATCTAAACATGTGCCCCAGAACGAGCGACAGTCCTCTATCGAACCCCTCCATCGGTGGCTGATGGCGATATGATCTAGTTGTGTCCAACGTTGAGACGACTTCGGGGGTCGCCAGGTCAAAAGGTGTTTTTCCTTATGCTTAAAATTAGTGTTTGCTAGAAATAGTTGGTTATCTGAGCACAGTTGCAACAGACGGTCACCATTGTCTGTTCTTTGAGCCGCGAGACCGTAACATCCACCTAGGTGTCTTTCATTTTCACCTAGTCTACCTACTTGTGCATTGAAGTCACCAGCCATTATAACTATATCAGAGCGCTTAACTTTTTGGAGGAGGTTCGAAAGCTTTCTGTAAAACTCATCTTTTACATCATCTGGGCTGCAGTCAGTGGGGGCGTAGGCTGATATGACGAAAAGGCAACGACGAGTGTCCCTATCTTTCCGAGTCCTTACTGTCCCGTTCAGTCGGACGGCGCACAAACGACTATCTACAGGGATCCAGTCTAGGAGAGATTGTTCTGCCCTACAACTCAATGCTATACCTACACCGGCGAGGCCCCTAGAAGCAGCATCAGGGCTACCGGATACACGAAGAGTAAATCGAGCTGCTTCTTTATCTTGACATGGTGAGCTCAAATGAGTGATGCTACTCGGATCCTGTATGCGCGTTTCCGAGACGCAGCACACATCGATGGAACGAGATTCTAAAGTCCTAGCTAATGACGCCTGTTGCCCTATTTGACACAATGTCCGTACATTAAATGCTCCAACATGTAGTTTGGAACGGGGTTTAAGGAGACCAGGAACGACGTTTCGCAAACTCGCATCGTTTGCATTAGCTGTGCATTGTAATAAATGAATGTGAGAGGAGTTAGTTGTGGAGATAAGAGAGGTATTAGGGAATGTAGGAAGGATTTGATTTTGAACAATTTTGTCTCGTGTGTTGTTGCGGGTATGAGGGCGGTTATCACTTCCCGGCTGCCCACACCGTGGAAGGTTGTTTCTTGAGGGACCTGAAAAGGAAGATGGATTAGTGTTGGTGCGTGACCGCAGAGCCCAAGAACAGGTGCTTGAGGCCGGTCACGCACGGCCTTTTTATGAGAGGTATTTAGAGGGTTAGCTCCGTTCTTAATGGCCCAGTGGGCACCCTTACCCAAGGAGACGGAAATCCGTGAGTTAGGGGAGGTGTGACATTTTTAGGGCCGACCTTTTCTAACCCTTCCTTCCTTGTGAGAAGGCAGCATCGCTGCAGATGCTGGTTGTCCGAGGGAAACACCTTACTGCTGTCACACCCCTGTGCAGTCAGTCGGCAGTACGACTTCGCCCTCAGACGTTGGGTAGCTGCTTTTAGTCTCATCGTTCTCCAATCGACCTGCCTGGCATGGTAGGACCTGCAGGAACATGTGTTCCAGCCAGTATAGCTCGGCTGGGTCATCACGATCGGCAAGCCCGACCACCACGTCAAGGTAGCAGCTTCGGTCGGGGTAAGTAAGACTATCTCGGAAAAGGATGGGATTATTATCCATTCTCAATGCAGGAGACTGGATTGATGGGCAGATCACTTTGGGGATCATTTCAACTGGCCTCGAGCCACTCTTCGGTTACCCACGATCTCCAGTCATCCTGAATGGCAAGTCGACGTAAGTCCTTCTAGTCTTAATGAAGTTGAGAAAGCATTAGGAAATCTGAAGCGAGGGCGAGCTGCATGTCCTGATAGACTGACCCCTGAAATATTTAAGGATGGTGGTCCAGTTTTAGCAGCTAGATTGACTGATATCTTAGTTAGAATCCGGGAACTGGACGTAATCCCATCCGACTGGTCTCAATCACTGATTGTCCCAATCTATAAGAAAGGACAAAAGTCTTCTTGTGACAATCACAGGGGAATAAGTCTAACTAATATAGTTTCTAAATTGTTAGCCTCGATTATACCTAGACTTCTAACTATTGCTCGTGAAGAGCGGACTAGAGAAAACCAGTCTGGTTTTTCGACCTGGACGTGGATATATAGACTACATTTTTACGCTTCATCAGGTCCTAAAACAAAGGCATACGTCCAGACGCCTTGCATTAGTAGCATTTCTCAATAGTAAAGCAGCATTTGACTCTGTGGATCGTGAGGTTTTGTGTCAGTGCCTGTCATTAAAGGGTGTACGATAAAAGTACATTCACCTTATACAAGCTCTCTACTCGAACACTGCAGTTCGAGTGAGAGCTTATGGAGAACTTTCGTCGGAATTCGTTACTTCAAGTAGTGTCCATCAGGGCTGTCCACTCTCTCCATTTTTGTTTAACTTTGTCGTAGATATTCTTTGACAGTTAACATTATCATCGTTCGACTCTTCAGGCATGGACCTGTTACCAGGAGCCACGCTTGCTGACTGATAGTAAGCTGATGACATACTGACGTGATGGAGAGTTTTCGGACTACCCCAAGAAACAACGTAGGGATGTTCGGGATGCGGTTCTCCCTCTTGAAATGTAAAGTGTTGTTTCAAGATAGGCTTGCTTCGGCATCTGAACTAGTGATATGGAGTGAAGTAGTCGAGGGTGTAGACCGCTCCATTTATCTGAAGAGTCTCATCAGTGCTGATGGCCTGGCGACTGACGAAATCTCAGCACGGATACAGAAGGCTCGATTGATTTTTGCCAACCTGCGTCACTTATGGCGTAGGCGAGATATCCGTTTGCTGGCAAAAGGACGAGTGAACTGCGCAGTAGTTAGCTCTGTCGCACTTTCCGAATGATAAACATGGGCGGTATGGTTAGAGGACATTTGTAGATTGCTTGTCTCCGATCATAGGTGTCTCTGAAGTATATACTGGGACAACCGAGTAAGCAATGCTGTCGTTAGTAATCGATTACCAGGTAGGGATGGCAGATCAATTGAAGTCCTAGTACTTCATTAGTTGAGGTGGTCGGGACATGTGTTACGAATGCCTAACCACCAAGTGCCTCGACGAGCTATGTTTTCTGGTGTAGGAGTAAGTTCGGGAGAAATCTATGGGCGGCCAAACCAAAACATGGCGCACATCCATGAAGTCACTGACAAGTGGACTGAGTCATGTTGGTAGATGTCGCCTACTTGGTTGGGGTGCGGGAGACAAAAGTCACCAATGGTTAGAGACCTTGAACGATATGGCTCAAAATCGTTTGCGATTTCGCAGATTCATTCGCTCATTGAGTTCTCTCAAATTCTAATCGTCAGAATTTCTGATTATCCCTCTCTTTCACTAAAATCATGTCACTGAATTATTCTTCTATCACTCCCACTCTTGGATTTGAGCTGACAGTTGCGTCTCTGTGCTCACGTGTTATGGAAGCCTAAACTGATGTACTTAGTATGAAGTTCTACGTTGTAACTGACTGACTGCTCACTTTCACTATTTTCAACATATAACACTGTCTTACTTAATGTATGCCTTATTTTGGCCTTTGTAATATAGCACACTAATCATGGACTTATGACTGTAGACCCTAAGGACGAGGCTATTGAAAACAATTGTTTTCTCAAATATTCTTTGTTTTTGAATATCTTATAACCATTTCGTCACTTCCTTCACTAAAGAGGCTAAAAATCAACATTGTGTATCTGAACCACAGTCGTTGTTGGATATCAGTAGCCTACTAATTTAGAAAATCATACATTATCAAAATGCTTCACTTCACTCTAAAATAAATAACGTAAAAATTTGTTGAAAACATATATCAACCTAACAGAATAATACAATAAGCCACTATTCAGGAATCGTACTTCAGTACATTGAACGAGACTATTACTATCTTCATCTTGGTTCCCTCATGTAGAGTAAAAAAGCCAGTTGCTGTAGAGAAGCTTTTTCGTTAAGACCCAGTGAAATCCGAACTAAATACAAGATAATTAGTTATCTATAGTTTAGAAACAAATCTGTGAAAAAATGCATGAATAGCGTATTTACACAAAGGTGAATAAATTAATATGATTAAAGTTCTGCTTAACTCGATATGATTTTTTTTCTTCCCAAGTTGTATTTAAGGATTCTACATTCCCAGCATAGCTCAAGTTGCTATACGACAGTATGGAGAAATAAAATAGCAATCGCAGTAATAGTGATATCAATGATTGTAACAGTGATTTAACATTGAGAATATGATTCGAAAGAAAATGCAAACAGATAAATGGATGCTTTCGGTACATAACGTATCTTCTATTCCGTCATTCTGTACTAATATGATGCATTACTATCTTTACTACTTAGTGTGTCTACTTAACTATAAAGAAAAGATTAAAAATAGCACCTAGTACTAATCTTCAGAATGTGAACCAAGTTTCAAAAATAAAGCTTAGGTGAATTGTCGGATTCCGTTTGCATGCTTTGCTTTAAGACTTGTAATAATCATATCTTAGTTAAGTTAACCGTTTCATGGGTCCACATTTTTTTATAATTATGAAAAGATAATCTGTATATATGGTTCCGTGTTGCTTATTAAAATATTAAACTGTCTGACATGTTTCAGAAAATCATATCTGTTGATGGGTCATCTCATTGTGGCACAGACTACTTTTAAGATATATCTTACTATCTTAGAATTTATTAAAAACTTTTTACCATAATTTGTATATCTCGGATGAAGTTTCGAATTATTCAAATAATTGCATACTTGTTTTAAATATGTCACAAATAAATAAAACATACATTTTAATTATCTCTTTTCCTTATATATATATATGTTTATAAAGGTGGCTAGTAAACGACAGTTTTCGCACAGATGTGTGCCTGCATTATCCTCCTTATATAATTGCATTAGGTATGTTTGCTCTTTCTACCACATTTATTATTATGTCCTTAATTTTTTTATATTATAGTAAGCTGATTGCAAGACTCTATTGGTCATTTTAGCTAACACTATTTAAAATAAAAAAGTTTCTGAAAAATTAGACATCAAAGCAATCATTATTAGTTGTATTTCAGTCAGTCAGTTACAACCTAGATCTTCGTACGTACGTACATCAGTTCAAGTTGCCATACCACATTAACATAGAGACGCAATTGTCAATTCAAATCCTATAGTAGTAGAGGTAGTAGATGTATCAGCAGTAATTGAAGAGATTAGAGTTCGAAGATATTATTCAGGTAGTAGAATTAATTGTATGGGAGCTCAAACTTTTAAATACAAGTTCTAAACCACATGAATTGTCAGTCTTATCGTAGCTGACGACCGAAGTAGATTCGTACATCATTCGTCCTTTGAAGATCTTAAAGCATGTATGCAAAAGTGAATTTCTCAATCGCCCTTCAAATCCAGCAACTTGGTTTAAGTTATGGATGTGCCGTAACGTTCCTTATTATAGTAAAAATACCATCATATGAACGTAGTGATTTAAGTCCTATAGAGGAGACAGTAGATATGAGCGTTTCGAAAGATAAATTATACTCTATGATCTAATCCGAGGCTGACACTAAATCGAATTCAGTAATCTTTATAAAACCAAAATGACGATAAAGTTAAATGTTATTCAGAAGTGTACGGGCCATCGACTCGAACACTACTAGTCAAGTCACATCCTATAGTGAACTGTCGTCGAAATTGATTACTTCAAGTTACCTGACCGTAGCTGCTACCTTGACGTGGTGGTCACGCTTGCCTATCGTGATGACCCAACCGAGCTACGTTGACCGGAACACATGTCCCTGAAGGTTTCACGTTGCCAGGCAGGTAGATTGCAGAACAGTTGGGCTAAAACTAGCAACTCAACATCTGAGGGCGAAGTCGTACTGCTGACTGCGGAGGGGTGTGACAACAGTAAGGTGTTTCCCTCGGACAACCAGCATCTGCTGCCTTCTGACAAGAAAGGAAGGGTTAGAAAAGGTCGACCCTAAAAATGTCACACTTCACCGTACCTCACGGATTTCCGTCTCCGGCGGTAAGGGCTGACCAATAAGGGCTTTTAAGAGCGGAGCTAATACTAAAAAAACCCTTTATCAAAATGCCGTACGTGACCGACCTCAAGCATTTGTCCCTTGGGCTCTGCTGTCACGCTCCCAGATCTCTAGAACCGACACTAATGAACCTTCCTTTTCAGGTTTCCCAATAGACCACCCTTTGACGGTTTACGCTTAGTGATTCTGGAAGCCCTGATGCTGCTTCCCGGGGTCTTGCTGGTGTAGGCATAGCATTGAGTCGTAGGGCAGAACAATCTCTCCTAGACTGGATCCCTGTAGATAGTCGTCTGTGCGCCGTCCGACTAAACGGGACAGTAAGGACTCGGAAGGATAGGGACAATCGCCGTTGCCTCTTTGTCATATCTGCATACGCTCCCACTGACAGCAATTTAGACGAGGTGAAAGATGAGTTTTACAGAAAGCTTTCGGACCTCCTCCAAAAAGTTAGGCGCTCTGATGTAGTAATAATGGCGGGTGACTTTAATGCTCAAGTAGGTTGTCTGAGTGAAAATGAAAGACACCTGGGTGGATGTTATGGTGTCGCGGCTCAGAGAACAGGTAGTGGCGACCGTCTGTTGCAAGTATGCTCAAATAACCGCCTATTTCTAGCAAACATTAACTTTAGGCATGAGGTAAAGTACCTTTTGACCTGGCGACCCCAAAAGTCGTCTCAACGTTGAACCCAACTAGATCACATCGCCATCATCCACCGATGGAGGGGTTCGATAGAGGACTGTCGCTCGTTCTGGGGCACATGTTTAGATTCAGATCATGCCCTAGTGCGAGCGCGTATTTGTTCGCGCCTTACTGGACGCAAGAAAAATATCGCTAGTAAACCTGTTAGGGCTGTACTTAATGATAACAAAGCTAAGAATATATTTTAGGAACAACTAGTAAAACAGTTAAGCAGCCATGTAGTAAGTGATGCCAACCCTGAGGCAGGTTGTAATGACATCAAGAAGGCTGTGGAAACAGCAGTGATATCTGCTAGTAAGGTGAACCATAAGGCTAGAATGAAGCTGTCGATCTCAATAGCATCCACCAATCTGATGGATGCCCGAAAACTCATCCCACCTGGCTCTGAACATGATGAAGAACGAAGTCAGCTTAAGCGCAGGCTGATAAAAAGCCTACGCAACGAGCGTGAACAGTGGTGGGTGGCGAAAGCAAACGCGATGAAAAAGACAGCGGTGATAGGCAACAGTAGACAGCATTTCCGACTTATCAAGGAAACTGGTATTAGGAATCCTACTGTAAGTAAGACTATCTCGGAAAAGGATGGGATTATTATCCATTCTCAATGCAGGAGACTGGATCGATGGGCAGATCACTTTAGGGATCATTTCAACTGGCCTCGAGCCACTCTTCGGTTACCCACGATCTCCAGTCATCCTGAATGGCAAGTCGACGTAAGTCCTTCTAGTCTTAATGAAGTTGAGAAAGCATTAGGAAATCTGAAGCGAGGGCGAGCTGCAGGTCCTGATAGACTGACCCCTGAAATATTTAAGGATGGTGGTCCAGTTTTAGCAGCTAGATTGACTGATATCTTAGTTAGAATCCGGGAACTGGACGTAATCCCATCCGACTGGTCTCAATCACTGATTGTCCCAATCTATAAGAAAGGACACAAGTCTTCTTGTGACAATCACAGGGGAATAAGTCTAACTAATATAGTTTCTAAATTGTTAGCCTCGATTATACCTAGACTTCTAACTATTGCTCGTGAAGAGCGGACTAGAGAAAACCAGTCTGGTTTTTCGACCCTGACGTGGTTGTATAGACCACATTTTCACACTACGACATGTCGTGGAACACAGACACACATTTAGGCGTCATACAATATTTGTGTTCCTCGACCTGAGGGCGGCATTTGACTCAGTGGATCGTGAGGTTCTGTTTCAGGGTCTGTCATTGAGATGTGTACCAGAGAAGTTCGTCAACCTTATTCAAGCTCTCTACTCGAACACCATCGGTCGGGGAGAGCTTATGGCGAAGTCTCATTGGAATTGATTACTCCAGCTAGTGTCCGCTAAGGATGTACACTTTCCCTATTCTTGATTAATTTTGTCACAGACATGCTGCTTAATATAATACTGTCTTCGTCCGACTTTTCAGGAGTCGAATTTCTACCAGGCAAATCGCTTGTTGACTTAGAGTATGCAGATGAAATAGTTCTGTTTGGTAAAGAAGCAGATAAATTGCAGTCTTCTGACCACCTTGAGTAACAATGCTAGCATGTTCGGAATGCGATTCTCCTCCTCGAAATGTGAAATTTTTCTTCAGGATTGGCTTGCATCGACAACCGAACTGGTGATAGTCGTCATTGAAGTTGTTGAGTGTACCGACCGCTCCACATGGGAGCTAGATTTACACCAATTGTTCTGGTGTATTACGAAATCCTAGCACGGATACAGAAGGCTCGACTGGCTTTTGCCAACTGGCGTCAGTTGTGGCGTAGGTGAAATATCCGTCTTTTAACTAAAGAACGAGTCTACTGAGCATCAGTCCGCTCCGTCCTACTATATGGATGCAACACACGGTCAGTAAGAGTTGAGAATATTCGTGGGTTCTTATTATTCGACCATCGGTGTCTTCGAAGCATTGTTCGTATATCCTCGGACCACCGAGTAAGCAATGCTATTGTTAGGAAAAGAGTACTAGGAAAAGATGGCAGATCAATTGATGAAGTAGTGAAACTTCTCATTTGACGTGGCTGAGACATATGTTACAAATGCCTAACCACCAACTGCCTCGACGAGCCATGCTTTGTGGTGTAGGAGTAGCTGTCCAAACCAATCATGGCACAAACCTATGGAGTCGCTGACAGCTGGACTGAGACATGTAGGTAGGAGTGGCCGCCTAGCTGGTTGGAGTCCGCTTGATACTCGTAACCAGTGGGTAGAGACTTTGAATGACTTGGCTGGAAATCGCTTGAATTGGCGTAGATGCATGCATTCTTTGTCTGTTTTCGAACTCTAACCTTTGATGGGATTACGTCCGATTCCCGAATTCTACCTAGGATCTCAGTCAGTCTAACTGCTAAAACGGAGCCACTATCCTTAAAAATTTCAGAGTTTATCCACTGCTTTCCCTCGCTTCAGATTTCCTATAGCCTTTTCGACTTCACAAAGACTCAGAGGACTTAAATCGATTTGCCACTCAGATTGACTGGATATCGTGGGCAACGAAAGTGGCTGAAGGACAATTAAACATCCCCAAAGTGTTCTGCCCATCGATTCAATCTCCTGGATTGAGAATGAATAATAAGACCATCCTTTTTGCGAAATATTCTCATTTACATTTGGATTCCTAATACTGGTTTCCTTGATAAGTTGGAACAGCTATCTACTATTGCCTATCGTCTTTGCCCTTCCCATCTCTTTTGCTTTCGCTACTCACCTACGCAATCATTGCGTAGGCTTTTATTCAACCTGCGCTTAAGCTGACTCCGCTCCTCATCGTACTGACTTCCGGCCATTAAGTCCCAAATCCGAACCACACTGTACTTATATCGTTTTAGGCATTATCATTAGGCTTCACACTTAAAGTTCTGAAACAACGCAGAAATCATATTCTTTCTGGTAGTGTGAACTTAAATTTTTTATTAATTTCTAACATTTCCTATCAGTACTAATTTTCAGGATATAATGTTATTATTATTCAAAACAAAACAGGTTGTCTACAGCTGGCTGTTGTGATTATTTCCAACAATCCTGACTTATTGATCGGTTCCGTCAATAGCAGTTCATCATCATCTTTTATGAATTCCAGTTTATCTATTTCATCAAATAAACATGGGTATTTCGCCCATCAAACTCAATCAACTGTTAATCCTTCATTAGTTGCTGATCGTTGGTTCAGTGAATTGAATGTGGACATGGAAAGAGTGAGCATAAATTCATTTCATTTATTTACTTGGATAGTTGTGTTTTTCCAAAAAGAAACTGATTCGGTACACAGATTTTGTTTTTAGGTTAAGAGATATTTTATAATCGAACCAGCTCTACGTGGGATCTTGTTGATCTTCAAGTTGTGCACCTTTTTTTATATCTTAAAGTAATCGATGTGCTAGCTTGTGACCGAATAAGAGAGAGTTTAATGATTATTTGTATTCGTTTTGTTGGTAAACCATAATTGATATATATATATATATATATATATATATATATATATATATATATATATATAAATGTCAAGTTAGTTCAACCTATTCTATTAGTCAGTTGACGTTGTTGTTTGGGTGATGTCAACTGCACATATGCGTGTAACCATAATTGCCATAAAGGTATATCCTGTAATTTACGATGATGAAATTAGTGAGAATAATCGAGTATGAAGGATTAAAAGTATCGCAATAAGAAAAAAAGTTAAAAATAATCGAAACATTATTGTCTATTTCGTAATGATGAATATAAACACAATATTCATCTTTCAATAAACATGTAGTGATAACAACTATTTTAAATTTAGACTATTCAGTTAGTGGTTGAAGCATTTAACTTCCGACTACTAGACAGAAATCCACTACTCTTCTGTTTTCTCAATCATTTAGTGTTACTGAAGATAAGGAATAGGTTGGTGATATACTGAGTTTTCATCGACCGAGATAGTTGAGATGTTTATCAAGTATGCTCAATAACCACCTATCTGGACTCTCTTCAATGTAAGAGTGAGTTAGAAAACAGTCAGGGGAAGCCAAACCAAAATGCGGAATTAGTTCGTGAAATCATTTTCTTTTGGATTAAGCCGTGTCAGTAGGTGCGGTGTACCTCGTTGGGGTCCCCATAATTATCTTAACTAGTGGTTAGAGATGATGAATGATATGACTCAGAATCGGTCGTAATTACTCCACATAATTCTCGAGTTTTAAAGTCATATTATACTTTTTTATTCCACAAATTTGTTCTTCTCAAATCGTATCTACGTCTAAGACTATTACACTAATAGTGATCGTGATAATTTCATTTCGCTATGTTTTTATATGGCAGCTGGAACAGATTCATGTATGTGCCAAGTTCTACATTGCTTATGACTAACTATTATCAGTGGCCTTTAGATAAATTCGGGTTGAAAGCCAAGTGCACAGGCTTGCCTCTAATTATTGAGTTGCATTAGATTAAAGGCCTATTATTATGACTTTTCGATTCAAATTATTGTAAATTCCTTGCAAAAAATAACAGTATGGTCAGATATGACTGATATTTCTAACCATATTTTTCAAATACTGATTGTGTTGTTCATAAATTTCATTGGCATCCGAAAATGTATAAATCTCTTTGACTTATCAGTTAAATCATTATTGATCAGCCAAATGTAGTTCTGGATAAATAAAAATATAAATGTAAAGCGTCTAGAGAGTGCCTTGTTGTCTATGAACACTGAAATAATGCAACTGACTTAATAAGTACAGGTTTTTGAAGTCCATTTATATTAGTGATATGGTCTGCATGTCCACATCGAAGTAAGTTGAGCAGATGTTGAACCTATATCCTGTTAGTTGGAAGTTAAGTGCTTTAACAAATTAAGCCACTGCTCCAATGTGAAGTTTAAAATATTAGTTTAGTCCTTTACCTGTATACTCTTTGTGGAAGTACGTAGATATCTCAATTCAGTTCCTCAGTGGATAGTCTCTACATCAAGAGGTACTAATTCTAAGTCTCCATATGAACATCATTCAGATACAACTGCATCCACCAGACAAGTCCCAAATGATACGAGACGCATGTCTTTCTTTCTCATTTTCGCCCATACACCAAACACGTTGATACTGTTAGCAACAAAACACAATACTGTTTACGTCAAATACTATTCATGTGTATTTCCAGTGTTCCGAAATAAAGTGTGCTTTAAATTGGAGCTTATATTCATGGTCGTAGCATTGAAATATTCTAGTCAGAAGATAAACTTAGAAAACACCAATTCAAATTTATTTAGCATCGAGATCAGATCAGAGAAATTTTTGGGACGTTTGTTTATTTTCACCACGTTTTATTTTATGAAATTGTTGAAATTATCTGCAGCCAGTCAGTCAGCTGCAACGTAGAACTTGATACATACACACATCCGTTCAAGTTGCCACATACAATTAATACGTAAAGATAAAAGGGTCAGGCTAAACCCAAGAGTAGGACAGGTTGTAGCAGTAATAACGTCATGAAAAAGAATAGGGATTGGAGATATCATCCAAGAGGTATATCGCAGTCAAATAAATCTCAAAAAACGGAGGAATTGTCAAGAGGGATTCCGAAGAATAAAATTTGAAAAAAAGACAAAGAATGCATGCATCAACGCCAATTCAAGCGATTTCCAGCCAAGTCATTCAAAGTCTCTACCCACTGGTTACGAGTATCAAGCGGACTCCAACCAGGTAGGCGGTTGCACCTACCTACATGTCTCAGTCCAGCTGTCAGTGACTCCATGGATTTGTGCCATGATTTGTTTGGCCACCCCTAGCACTCTGCCAGCCTACCCCTACGTCGATCGATTGTCCATCCTTCTCTATCACTCTTCCTAACACCAACACTGCCTACTCGGTTGTCCCAGGAGATACGATCAGTTTCGAACGTAGCCTGGATATGTGCGATCGGAATCAAACAATAATAAATTCTTTTACTGTTTGACTGATCAAAATAAATGGTGAATAGATGTAAACTATGGTAATGGTTGCGGCGTTCAATATTATGTAGTACTTATCATCGTAATTACGAAAATAGGTTTTACGACAAGTAATGCTTACTTTCTGTTTAACACATTCAATATGACTTTATAAATAAAGTGCATGAACCAGTGGGAAAACGGTTAGTTTACCCTGAACCAGTAAGAAACACTAAATCGAATTCAAGTTACTTATAAGTAATATAGTTGTAATATGGAAATTTCACTGATACTACTTGCCGATGTATTCGGGTCTTCAAAATTATAAAATTGTCAAATTAGACTCTGACCTTCTTCATCCTAACAGATAATTCGTTTGTCCAGCGCAAATTTTTAATATTTAAGATTTAGTTGATTTGCTGTGGTATGCTACTTTGAAGTTTTATTTTGTAGGTTCTCTATGTCTTTCCGAGATAGTCATTTCTCATTATATTGTTAATTATTTACCATACAATTTGATTTTGTTGTTTATGTTATTCACCTCACGGGGTGAGTTGGTTCTACAATATTCTTTCATAATACTGTTCCATATAATTTTAGGTCTTGGAAATTTCTCGTCATCTGCTGAGTTTGTATGATTTATGGCGTCGTTTTGATGAACTTGCTGAAATGCCTAATATTCTATTGAAAAAACTTCCACGTCCTGTTATTCAACCGCCACATACTTCGCAAAACTATCCATCTGGTGGTTCTGTCAATCCAATGGGTTGTAATAGTGCTGCTGCAAGTCAGTCATCATCTAATCTGTCTAGTGGAACACAACAACAAACTCATGGGGGACCGATGGTTGTATCGTCAGGTACAGGTGCTGTTGGTACAGGAAATAGTAGTGGTGCTGCGGGAACCGTTGGTAGTATACATGCTATGTCGGATCATCAAACTCAACAACAGCAAAGAACAATAGCATCTAACCAACCACGTATGCATCCACAAGGTGGTGGGATGCAGCATATGGGAGTTAGGTAGACGTATCTCCTATTTCCCTATCAGACCTTGGCGAGTATTTATTTGTATGCATTCAATTCTGTGTACAGAAGTATATATTTCTTTTCTACTGAATATATATGTATGTTGATTTCAGCTCTCACTTTGTTATTTGAGTTGAACATATTGTTGAGTGATGCACCAGCCTGTCGAGCCAGTTAAAATGAATCTTTTGTGTATTCACTAATCTTAGCTACTTATGAGTAGTGCGTTTATCACTCGAAAACGTTTCTTCGATTTCATTCTTTATCATATGAATTAGTTCTAGCGAATATAAAATTACAATGTTAATCATTCATAAATAGTTTGTGATTGTGAAAGCAAAACGAACTCGAGTCGCTATCGTAGAGTTGTTGAGAGCTTGTCAATAAATAAGCCAGTTTAAAAAGTTACTATAATGAATACAGTGCGATTTCACTATGCATACTATAAAAAATTTTTTTACAGTTCAATACTAAGGTTGAACAATTTTCCATTTAGTGTTATAGTTAGACTTAGTTCCAAGTCGATAGTCTTACTCTAAAAGGTTGAATAAACATATAGAAAAGTGACAAATGATCAATCTCCCAATGGATCGTCGCATCGTGTTTCTTGTTTATCATTTTGAAAGTTTCAACGTCTGAATATCTTCAGTTAGGTCACAGATAAAGTTACGCGTATGTTCATTATCTGAGTGTCACGATTTGGATTGAAATAAACTTTCCAATAATGTCATTTCATAAAGAAAATAATTGCTAACGGTTTGTAAAATTCATTTCTGTTTATCAATTTATTTGCTTAAATCAACAATGTTAGATTTTTTAAATTAAAACTCAATTAAATTTATAGAAGTTTCATTGATTCCATCAAATGCTTCATTTAAATTGTCACCATAGTAGATCATATGATTGAGTTTAGCGAAGAAATAACGTGTATATGTTGTGTTTCACTACGTGCATCTTTATATATGTACATACAGATGAATACGTTGTTAAAAGTTCATTGAGATCGATAATATTTTACTAATTAGAGGTTAATTACAACATTTGAATTCATCACTTTATTGCCACATTCGATCATTGATTCACTAAATTCGTTGTAAGCATTTGAGTAGTATTACTACTTTTCACATAGAAATTGTGACTTGAAGCCAATTCAACAAACCTGCACCTGGTAACCACTTTGTAAACCAGTCAAACTAATTTTATCATAGAAATGTTTCTTATCGCTAATTATATTTATACCCTAATTTATTAAAAAGATTAGATGAACTATATAAGTGAAAGTATATAGATTTAAAAATCCCTTTGTTAACTGCCACTGTTTATTCTGTAGTTGTCTTTAAGCAAGTCACCAGTCAAAACACGTACGTATATACTTTTCAGAGTAGTTATCCAACTTTGATGTGTTTAAAAATCCCAACTGATACCCGTATTGTAAAAATGTTTATTGTCTTTAGTTGGTTAGAAAAATATCGATCACAGTGAGACGGTAAGCAAATAAGATCAGTAGTGAGTTTTTGTGTGTTAGTAACAACCATCGCAGATGGTGCAGTGCATATAATCTGTCTTGTATGCTCAATCATTTATTTAATGATGTATTCACACACAAAAATAGTTAGTTACATAATTCAATATTCTCCGTTTTAAAATTTAAACTGTAAAGAATTTCAGGAATGTAGTGAGATATTATGTATATCTATGTAAATGCAATCAACATTTTTAGTGCTAATGATGATTTCTTGTTATTAATTTGTTTCAAAAGAAAATGTTTGATTCGATAATTATTATCACAAATTTGAATCAGCATTGTCCAGTCATAGTGCAAAGTTTTATATTATTTAGAGTAGACATATACAACATCATATCTTACAATCTTATTATTTTCGTAATATGCATTAAACCACACAGTTCTGTTATTTTGATACGGAGTTCCAACTAAGGTTCTCCGTAACTATCTACAGAATTGAGTTTTATGCAGATCACACAATCGTTAGCCTTCAAGGTAGTGGATCTTTGTCCACAAATAACAATGTAAATCGGTGAGTAGAAAACACAAATTCATTTATTGATGTGGTGTGCAATGCTCATCCAAATACTAGCGACTAATTTTCAAATTACATTACACCCAAGGTCTCCAATTAATTAAATGGATACAGCTTGCGAAAAATTTAGATACGATTGATCATGTTTGTCAGGTAATCCGCATAACGACAACATCGTTCATTTGCTAATTGTACCGTTATTTCGAAATGTGATTGATGTCTAACTTTTAAAGTTAAGAGTTCATAATATTCCTCATACTGATAGTATCTCCAATACAACCAGAACTATGACATCCATTTATTCGCATTCTATAAAAAGAGTCGATTTTTCCAAAAAAAATAACACTATTATAAATCGGACGGAATAGTTATTAGTTTTAAAGAAAGCGAGCAGCTTTAGGAGTCAAGTGAAAACAAATTGAGCCTAAAATCTATAAACCTCAAAAATTTTCAATCGCTTCTTAAATCAACTACTTTAGTTTTTCTCTGCCACAACTAATTAATTGCATGCTTTTTCTATGTATTAGTTTATCTACATTTAAGCTCATAAGTCTTAATGATAGGTTTCAGGGGTTGTATGAAATTATTTTACTCTTCTATTACTAAATATTCAGTGATAATATAGAAATAACAATTTCTAAAGTCGTTCTGCCTACTGAAACTGACTTTTTGTGCAGTATCAAAGGCATTATAAATGATGTCTAACTTATATTCACTTAAATAGTTCAAGTTAGACGTATTAATTTCAGAGCATGAAGGGCCTATCGTTGAAATTTTCTCATTAACGATTGATCAACATATCAAAATACATCTATTTAGTGATCGATAAAACAACATCCAAGGTAGTATTCGATCGATTTTATTTCAAGTTAATGTCAGATGATTTTGGCTTTAAACAAGCAACACAACTAGTCTTATTGAAAAGAAGACACCACATAATCGATAGAAATACGAGTTGTGTAATCGATATGAAAAAGCAATCACAATAATAGAAATGACAAAAAACGAGTGTAAGAAAGCAAGATAAACAAACTATTAAATTTCGGAATTTACAAGCGTAAGGTGCCAATAATGTAGTGTCCTAATCAGTTGAAGGGTTTCTTAGCGAAGTACTTCGACAGTAGGGAATCAGTATTCATGTAGATTTAAATCTATTATGTGACTTAATGAACATCATCTTTAAGACTATTGACAAATTAAAATTTGGAAATCTTTACTACTAAAAGAATGTTGAATATACAACAACATATCTAGTGGGGCAACATTCGTTTGTCAATTTACCGAGTTGAGCCAATCATATGCGAAGTGATTAAACTAAAGCACTGAATAATGCTTCTCATTAGTTTAAATGCATAAACCTTGGTACAAGGGGGTACGAAAATATGTACCACATAAAAATGAGGTTGTAACGAGATAGCGAACGAACCCTATAACAAGAACTGAACAGAAATTGGTGTATATGAGTGAAATAATTGTAGGATGTGTAGTTTCAGATAGGCTGGTTTAGAATTCGTATTTGATGTTAGCATCTTGACCAATCGGTGATTTAAGATCGTTTAGATAGGACAGGATTCCCACCATAGACGCTGTGCTGTATGAGCTGTAGAATAAATTAATCCTAAAAAGGGAATAACAGAGTAGACACGTGGCGCGACCATAAATGAACAGGAACATTAACAAAGGTTTAGGGAATATGTTGCGAGTATGAGAACTAGGACGTGAATGCTTCATTCCTCGTTGTAGTCGTCAATTAGTTTGTATGAAAGCTGGGATACTACATGGATCTTGAAACCGTAGCAGGTGGTTTTCACAGGAGGCTACTCCTCGAGCCGTTAACCTTTATGTCTAACCCACAAGGTAGTGGATCAGCGTCAGGAAATCCTGTTCCATGGTAGCCCGTGACTAACCATGGATTTGTACGTCATTTGGTTACTCAAAATCCTGAAGCCAAAGTGCTCCATTCGTTTGGAGTCTGGAATTTTTTAAGCTCCATGAGTGGATTCTCCGTCGAAAATTCGCAAATTCATTTACTAACCACCTATTTATATTTAACTGATCTAAAATTGATACTGAGATGTTAGTTTCAGTACATCGATCTAGACATCTATCTGTTAACTACTTCGGTTTAATTAGTGAGGGTGAAGATGATTACTGGTCGTTCGTCGAGTCGATATTCTCTGATCAGTATACGTCTCCAAATCAATATATATCCTAAAATACCATGGGAAACTGGGGCTCCATTACAGTTAATCTGTAGGAACTGAAAACATTTCAGCTGTTACTTGATATATTATATACCGAATTGACGGAAACTAATCAGGAGGGTGCTTTGGAATTGCTGAAGATCGTTGATTACTAAACGTTGAAGTATTTTGGTGCAAAATTCTTCATTGAAAATAGGATTTACATAGTCTTGATTATGTGAAAACCTAAGCCGTATGATTTGAATGTGATGATTTATTGAGAGAAAATATGTGTATGCTTTTAAAGAATCGATTGTTCTTTTACAGTTCTGCATTCATGTAGAAATAATTTATCTTGAATTATATATAATTAATTTCCATCATAGGATTCGTAAAACAATAATAGCGAAGCGATAAAAAAAATGCTAATTCAACGAATTAGCTAAAAACATTTTGCACATATGATCTCATATTTAACCAATGATTGATCCGTATTGTGTTTTGGTATTCTATGTACGTAATTTAGAGTTTAATCTAATGAGAAGTAATCAAAAATGTTAAACATATTGCTTGCAACTAAGTCATTTAGCACAGTATTAGATTGAAAATTTCAGTCACTATTGTAAATGGTATATTTTAAAGATAATTATTACTAACATTCAAATAAAAACTGTGTGAATATTAATCCTGGGTTGCAGAGACGTCTGTCTGACAAGTCCAAAGTACAACAAGAACACCTTGAATTGCTTCAGTAGCTACAATCTGTTCATTTGGTA